CCCCCTCTCTCAAACAGACACACGCACACAGAGAACTTTGATCCCTCTCTCATTCACTCACTCTCAAACACAAACACAGAAGTTTGTCAGGGTCACAATAAAATTAGTACATGCCACAGATATCTAAATTAACTTCAAGCCTGGTGCATATTACTAAGCCTTATTATCATGAAAGAAAACTAAAATGAATTGGAGTACACACACCCCTACATTCTATTTTTAAATAGAATCAATCATCAATAAGCAATCATGTGCCTTGGACACTCTAAAACAATATAAAAGCATCAAAGGTGATTTTTCAAGAGGCAACGGGATGTTCTGGAAACCAAGGAAGTCCAATAGTCTCTTGAAAAGAGCACTTTTGGGACAGCCGTGACCTAGATGACTGAAGAATCCGCATAGACAAGAGACTCCTGTGCTCAGTGAACTGACAAAGCACCCTTTCCCACCCCGAAGAAGCAAACATTAAATTCATTTGCATTAGTTAAAGATACTAGCTGGTCTCACTCACCTCACAAAATATACTAAAGAAATCATCCAGATTTAAGGAAAGATCACGTGCCCCCAGAAAGGCAGTAAAAAAATCAGTGCCGAGCTTGCATCCTGTCTTTTGGAAGTACACCCCCAAAAGACAGTGTCAGGAACCACTAAAGCAGTGAAAGAAGACCTCCCTCCCCAGATAGAAAAAGAAACCATAAGGCAGGAAAAAATTCAAACACAATACAAATAATTAAATCCCAACAGTTTAAATATTTTTAAAATAAAAAACACAAGCTTTGTCTGGCTCATTGCCAGAGCTTAGACTCCAGGCAAGCTCAAGTGTAAACACTCGAGATAAGCCTAACTACAAAGAATGCAATTAGCACTAGAATGTAGGAAAAGAGCACTAGCTGTTAAACCAATTACCAGAATAAATAGACACAGGAACTAGCTAGATTTCTCAACCCTGCTTCTTTTCACGAGCACAGGTTAAAATTTTGCTTCAAAACAAAGCTGAATAGGGAAATTATTCCATCAATAAACACAGGGTTAAATGTCACCAAGCACAGAATTAAACTTCACCAAAAACCAGTTTTAGACCAAAACTCAAAAAGGGTATATAAACTCACATTTGAATGTCAATCTTTCTAGCTAGCTCAGAAACCTTGCTGAATGTCACTTGTCTTGGTTCCTTGTCACTAAAAGCTTCTTTCTGACAGCTCTGCTTTGTTATTCAATTATTTCTCCAAAGTGCTGATCATTGCATCCCAGCTGGAAGAACTCCAACAGGGGAGTATTTTACCTCCCAACAGCAGTGTACGAAGCTTAAAACAATCCTTCTCCTGTAAGAAAGTCAAGCCCTAATAAAGCAAAGCAAAGTACCAGCAAAGGCAGAAAAAAAACTCTGAAGAAGCTCAGGCAATAGTAAGGTCTGGGCTTACTGAATCTTTAACCGTTTACAATGTAATAAGGCTCAATCAAGTGGCAGTTTCTGTAAGAAGGGCAATAAAGATTAGGCTACAAACAACACCAGAATGTTTCCTTGCTGCCTTGATAACAGGATTAGCCTTGTACAGTGGGGAAAAAAAGATATTTCTTCCAACAATCGATTCTCTGAACTGCTCAGAAAATTAACAAACGGTTTGTCAGATCCCTAAAAGTGATACTGCCATTCAATTGGGAGGAGGGGGGCCTTGGAGTTAAATCACTAGCTGTACCAGTAACAACTGAGTTTTACAACTTTTACAACTGGTTTCCTGTCACCAGGAAACTGAAGGTCCCAGCACCTATGGAGGGATGTTTATGATGGCCATGTGGGATATCTTACTTTAATGCCTAACTAGAGATAGCAATGGGAACGTGTGTTTTATTCAACTCTCAGAAGAGTTAAGGAAACATCTTCACACTTGTGTATTGGTCAGAATCTGCATCGGACAAAGGGGAGGGGTCATTATCAATTTAATCCCACTTGCATTGCCTAAACGGTTTCAGATGCTGCTTTGCCTCTAATGGTTTCCATCCTGCTTGATTAAAGGTTCCTTTTGAAATAATCCGTTTCAAGAGTCTTTACTTTCTTAAATTAGGAGAGGAGCCATTACATAAAGCAGCATCTGTCTGCACAGTGGTCAACAGGGAGAGACAACATTTTACTCTACCAAGGGGACCCTACAAACCATGTCTGAGCATAACAGCGAACAAGGGGGAACTNTCGCAGTGCCCCGAGAACGACCGTTCAGGTAAGCCAACGGTCTTTCCTCTCTGTCTCTCCTCTTCTTGTTATTCCAAGTATTGGTCATAGAATAATTCTGCTTTCTCTACTGAGTCCAATTATTCCTGCCAGTTCATCAATATTCCTTCCAGTATTAACCATTTAAAGCTCACTTCTTTGTTAATCAAGCATTTTGTCAAGAATTGATACTCTTTTCTGAGATCTCTAACTCTTCTTGGAATCTGTTTCAATACCACTATTTCTCTCCCTTTGTATTTTATTTGATTATTTCTTAGTGTCTGCAGCATCTCTGTTCTTATTGCTTTCTTGGTGAATCTTACATGTACCTCCCTGGGTAAATTATGTCTCATTGCATATCTGGTGTGTACTCTAAATATTTCATCAATCTTGCTTATTGTCTTTTCTTTAGTTTCTTCCATTGCTTCCGTCAACCACTCTGTCATTATCTCAGCCAAGTTTTCCCCTTTCTCTTCTTCCATATTTTGAAATCTAAGATAAAATCTGTTCTATTCCTTTCTAAAGCAATAATTATTTTTTCTGTGTTTCCTGATTTCTACCTAGTCGTTAATCTATAATCTAACTCTTCCACTCTTTTCTCTGTTGACTCTGCCTTTTCTTCCATCTTTTGTATTCTTTGTTCACTTTTTTCCACCATCCCTTTAACATCTTTTAACTCCTCTTCCACTTTCCTCATTCTCTCATAGGCCCATGTTGCCTATCTTTTCTTTGAAATCTTCATGTAATGGTTGTATCATCTTTTTAAACTTCTGTTGAATAGCATTAGTTTTCTCTTGGAGTGCCATGTTATCCAATGTTCTCTGTGTCACCGGGCTAGCCATCGAGTAGGTGTTGAAGATGTGTGCGCTGTTGTTTTCTTCATCTTGCGTTGTCCTGATGTTATTTTAAAATTTGTAATCCACTCGATTTAAATTCCAATATATTTTGCTAATGGTCTGGTGCATATTGCTAATTGCTCGACAATGGAAATGCTAATTAAGCAACGAGTCAGCCCGTGTCAATGATTGCCTCTACCTCACCTTCTACCCCCATCTCAGGCACTGTAAGTTTGGCTTTGATGACAAATGGGCAGATGGCTGCACTTACCATTGGGTCGTCTTTGCTGCTGTTCTCCTCCTCAGAATTTGGAGGGCTTTTCCCGTCTGGTGGCTTTTCCAAATTTTCTGCTTGGGGAGAGGCTTTGTCAGGTTGGTGGGCTAGACAACCTTTTTCAGGTGGCTTTCGTGGGCCCTTCTTCTCACAGGTGGCTGGTGTGCAGACTTGTGGGACTGGAGCCAGGGCCAAGCATTGGCCCAGTTTTCCCTGTGCCTAGTTTGACCACACCGGTAGCATGTTATTGTTTCAGTGGAGGTTTTAGTAGTTGGCCCAGCTTGCTTTGGTTGGGGTCAGTGACACAGGGGCCTTCCAGTGGGCTTTTCAGCGGTAGGCTTTCAGTGGGTTTGGAGCTCGAGGTCCAGAGTGACTGCGGTATTCTATCAATCCTGGATGTGCCGGGCGAAGGAGGAGTGGTGGCGGCGGCGGCAGCAGCTGCTTTAAGTCTCCCTTGTCTCACAGCCGGGGCCGCTCCAGGCCGCCGGCCGCTGACACGTGCTCCTGCAAAAGCCTCTGGGCAGCGCCGGGAGGCCGCAGAGAAGCTTCGCTCCGCTTCTCACCCAGCCTTCCCCCAGAGGCGATCCGGGACTTNATGAATGGTTTTTGAGCCACAAAGACAGCTGTATGATGAAAGATAAGCTAGCTTGGGTGGGAGGGAAGTTGTATGTTTCAGCTAGCCAAAGACTGTACTTCATGGAAAGGTGCCACGACTCCAAACTAGCAGGACACTTTGGTTTTGTAAAAACTTTACATCTAATTAAAAGGCAATGTTGGTGGCCATCACTAAAAAAGAACATAGAGAACTATGTAACAAGCTGTCTAATTTGTGCAGCAGCTAAAAGACGCCAAGGCAAAATGCCAGGACTGTTACAGAAGGTAGCTGAGCCTTTAGCACCTTGGAAGATTGCTATGGATTTTATATTCGAACTACCAGAAAACGCAGGGAATACTGTAAATTGGGTCGTAACAGTCTTGTTTTCAAAACAGTCACATTTTATACTGTGCCATATGATCCCAACTGCCAAAAGTCTAGCCAAGTTATTCCTGATACACATTTATTACCTTAATGAAGCCCCACAGAGAATCATCTCCGACAGAGGGGTCCAATTCACCTCAAAATTTTGGGAGGCATTCTTAAACTTACTTGGCACCACCCAAGGACTGAGCTCCAGTCACCATCTGTGCACCAATGGTCAAACTGAAAATTGGAACATAGTTCTAGAACAATACCTAAGATGTTTTATTAATTTTCAATAGGATAACTGGATTGATCTTTTACCTTTTGCAGAAGTGGCCTTCAATAACGCTGTGCACTCAAGCACTGGTTTCACCCCTTTTAGAGTAACAACAGGCCAGGATTTCAACCCCATGCCTGAACTACCCACAGCAGAACCCACTATCCACTCATTAAAAGAATGGATAGACGATCTACGAAACACATGGCCAATGGTTAGACTAGCGTTACAGGAAGCTAGAGAGGCTTTCAAAACTCAAGCTGACAAAAAAAGAGTAGAACCCAAACCTTTCCATATTGGAGATAGAGTATACTTGTCTACAAAATTCCTGAAGTCATTGCAGCCATCAAAGAAATTAGGGTAAAATTTCATCGAACCTTTCCCGATTACCAGTTATCAACCCAGTAACAGTAGAATTATTCCTTCCAAAGACATTCAGGCAAGTCCATCGAGTGTTTCACATTAGTTTACTCAAATGAGAAGTAATCTCACAACTCAGACCACCTGCACCTACACCTCCTGTTCCTATCATGATAGAAGGCGAACAACATTTTGAAATCAAGGAAATCCTGGACTCTAGGACCCACAGAAGGAAAACCCAATACTTAGTTCCTTGGAAGCATTTACCTTCATCCCAAAATGAATGGGTAGTGAAACACCACATTATGGCCCCTGCCCTATTGATAAAAATTCACTCCCAATACCTTGACAAACCTTGTTAAAATACTATGATGCAATTTCTTTTCCTATCTTTTCACAGGTGGATCTCTCCTTTTTCTAAAGAACAGCAGCATGTCAGATCCCTAAAAGTGATACTATCATTCAATTGGGAGGAGGGGGGCCTTGGAGTTAAATCACTAGCTGTGCCAGTAACAACTGAGTTTTACAACTTTTACAACTGGTTTCCTGTCACCAGAAAACTGAAGATCCCAGCACCTCTGGAGGGATGTTTATGATGGCCATGTTGGATATCTTACTTTAATATCTAACTAGAGATAGCCATGGGAAAGTGTGTTTTATTCGACTCTCAGACGAGTTAAGAAAACATCTTCACACTTGTGTATTGGTCAGAATCTGCATTCGGACAAAGGGGAGGGGTCATTATCAATTTAATCCCACTTGCATTGCCTAAAGGGTTTCTGATGCTGCTTTGCCTCTAATGGTTTCCATCCTGCTAGATTAAAAGTTCCTTTTGAAATAATCCGTTTCAAGAGTCTTTATTTTCTTAAGTTAGGAGAAGAGCCATTACACGGTTCTCCTGAATAGGTGTGAACTGGCTGAATCCCACCACTGTGTTGTCTGGTTGTCTGGTGACCTCACTCCTTCTTCCATGGTCCAGGTGTGAGGATATCCTTGGTCCCCAGGAGAAAGTATTTTATTTTGGCTACACAACCCTAGCTATCTCTAATCTCCTCTCCCTATCTCTCAGCTCCAGTGTGGCAACACTGAAGCTTCAAGATGGCTCTGGTCAGGTCAGTTTCAGTGCTGACAGTTGTTCCACGAGCTGCACTAGTTGCTGGTTTACTTCTTGGTATAATTCAAGGTATTTGTCATCACTTTTAAAGTCCTTCATGACATGACTTCAAGCTAATGGCATTGATCCACCCCATTAGTGCCAGGAGAATGAGCATTCTGCAGAACCCATTGATTAAGGAATTTTGGAGCTCCTGCCTTTTGGAACATCATACCTTCCCCAAGGTGATTTCTGCTTCCATTCTTCTGACCTTTCATTGTGGCAGTTGGACTAGGGCCCCAACAGAGGTTCATCATTCTGGAGTAATTACCAATTAAGACAACACCCCGCTTCCCCTGTATGCATCTTGCTCCCTTACTCCCCATCTTTTAATTGTAATTTATAATTCATTGCACAATCAGCTAGGTGTTCAGACTGGATCTGGAATTTTTATCCTTGTATTAAGCCCTTCCCAAGAATCTGGTATAGGAAGATGTAGATGTTTGATAGTATTAAAGATATTGTCACAGAATCTAAACTGTTCCAAATAAGGTTGCTTTTGCAATTAGTATGATGATGATTTTCTTGAAGTCGATGGTATTCAAGTGATGCTCCAGTTGTTTTTAGAATGTAACTGAGGAGTCCATTACCACAACTACTACTTTTATCAGAATGAAAAAGTCAATAAGGGCTAAATGGTCTATAAAACTCCACCTTACATTCTTTCTTCTCATCTATCGCTCTCTATTCTAACCTCTATTCTAATAGGCGAAGTGACTAGAATCCATTAATTAATGTATTGGGATTTAGCGCCAATTAATAATATTATTACAGGTATTCATGTGCTACCACCTATTTATATTCTGTACAAAAATGATATTACAAGTTAAAATTATAATCTTAATGGAGGAAGTATTCCTAATTTGAAGGGATCTTATGAATTGTAATTGGTAACATGATATTTAATAAAAAGATATATGTGAATGTATTAATTTCTACAGATCATTTATTGGTAATAACAGGTCAACTCTGAAATTTACATATAAATGTATTTGTATTTTAGGCTTTCTAAATCAATATCACCAAAGATAAAGTTAATGCTTTTTTTAGCATGTCCCTCATTTGAGGATCCATGAATAGCATTGCGCATAACATCAGTTGCAAATTTAGCACGTATTGAACTAGGATGTGTTTCTTTTGCTTTCATTGGATCTGTTGGTCCCATTAATTGTCGCCATTCCTCCACAGCATTTTCTTTAGTTAGAACCATAACCACTGATGGGCCTCTGGAAAAACAATACAACCAACAATGTATGAGATGCTAACAATCTGATTTTGCAATGAGAAGATTAAGTTGATATAACTAATGTTGCATGCTGCATGAGATAAACAAATCAATTCTACTTGGGATAAACTGTCTATTTGATTATTTTACAGTTAGAGGTTTATGTTATAGAAGCCAAGACTTATTAAACATACATTATGTATCAGTAGATGACTTCCTTAGCAGTCCCATCTCTGCTTGTATTTGTGCTTTGCTGTATGTCAGTCTGCCTGTTCTCCATACATATAAAAACGTATGCTATCATGTCATATTATATCATATGCTAGACTTAAAGGTGCCATTTTTGATGACTTTCCTTCCCTACGGAACTTTCAGATAAATGGAGATACTCAGTAGATAAAAGTAGTTCTCTGTTTCTGTTCTACAAAAGAAGAATGCAGGAAGAATGTTGCTTTTTTCACTTAGGGAACTCTGAATTATTTAACTATCTATATTCTGTGGGGCAGGAGACCAGCTGGATGGATATAATTAGATGTGGGAGACATCAGCAATTATTGACAAGGTGTGTAGGTAAACATTATTTAAAAATATACAGCTGGCATTCAGAGCTTGATTTTTGCCACTTTGGTTTTGATTATTACACTGAAGAATTTATAATATTTATTTCAGTCATGATTAAATATGATTAAGAATTCATATGTCACTGGAAATGACACAGCAGAGAGAACTTATATACTAATGATTAAAAGGAGCCTTGTGTATTTTCAATGTTTTTGCACAGGGCTTCATCACAGACTTTCCATTTGTTCAAGAGTTTACCATTTCAGCTGAACTGGTAGTGAAATTCAGGCCTTGGACACAGAACCTGGAGAAACCCAGGCCTGCCATGTCCCTGTTCCTTCGCTGCCACCATTTTGGATTTTAGTGATGTGTGTGAACAGTTCACTGTAAATTGTTCTGCGCATGCGCAAAGAACAATTTACATTGAACAGTGCATGTATGCACAGCACTCATAAGGCACACACAGGTTGCAAACTGGTAGTAAAACTGATAGCAACCCATCCCTGGTCCCTTCCAACTCTGTTATTCTCTTAAAATGATGCAAAAGAAATAAATTATTTCTTTGATATTTTAATGCGAGCCTGGCAATTTTTTTTGTATGAAAAATTCAAAGTCAATTCTGCTTTCATAAAATTTTGTTCTTGTTTTTAAAAAAAACAATACAGGTGCTTACTTTGACATATAATCCACTAGTTGATTATAATATGGCTTATCTTCATGATCTTGATAAAATTGTGCTGCTATCTCGGGACTTATGTTTGCTTCTCTCAATTCTGAGATTAGAAATCCAGCATTTTTTACTTCATTTATAATTTTATCTAGAAGAGAGGGACATCAACATTCCACTATTTCAATCTTTATAGTATAGTACAGTACTACTATGAAATATGTTCAAATGTATAAAAACTGAAAACTTTATTTTCCTGCTAGTTACAGAATTTCTGTTTATGTGAAAGTGTTATTTCCAAATGACAGCTGTAAATTGAGATCTTTTACATTTATGAATAAGAAAAAAAATCAGTTACAAAATAATTGGCAGAAGATGAAAATTACTACAGACTTGGCTCCTGAAAAAATGGTTTGAGGGTTTGTGCGAAGAAAAAACCTTAAGATAGCAACCAGAATGGTGCAACTGAAACCCTGAACCTTTAATATGAGGCTACCCTCTTGAGCTTTTAAGAACTCTCCTGCAGATACCGCTGCTTGGAGATTAGCCTTTTTCATGGGACTGATTGCTTGCCTAATTAAGGTTAACTCTGTATATTTAATTGATGACTTACAACTGTAAGTAAGCCTGAAATTACAGCCATAAGTTGTCCCAGTCAAAAAGTTACCACGTGATTTCACACAATTTTATAACACTTTTTGCTGTGATTGCTCAGTGAATGTTGCGGTCACATAGTGAATGCCACTGTTGTTCAGTGAAAACTGCAGTTGTTAAGCAAACACATTTTGCTCCATGGCTTTTTTTTATTATGGGGCACTGTAAATGGATGTAATTGTAGATTATTGTCAAATGCCAAAAATGCAATCACATGAACACAGGTGTAGGGACAATTGCTGGAATTACAAACTTGGTTGGAAGTAACTTTTGGGGAGTCAGTGTCAACTTGAAATGGTCAGTAAGTGTCATGTTATAAATCGAGAATTATCTGCAATGTGTAAGCAAGGCTTCAGTATATATATATTTTACTCTGTCCAATTGCCTCTTCCTTTTGCCTTTTAAACATCCATTTTTCTCCCATTTTATTTTTCCTTCTGTTCCCAGGATAGCTACCTCTTCCCCTTACGTTGTCTGTTCTCTTCATTTTCTTAGTGTTGCTACTAAGTGGAGGGAGGAGAATATGTTTACATGTATTACTGTGCGAGGAGATTAGTTGATATAGGCAGATGGGAATGAAATAATTTTATAATGGTATAACTTATTTTATAGACAATTTATATAAGTGCACAAAGAGAAAAATATGAACACCTTGTAATATTAATCTTACCTTTATCTTCAAAAGCAGAGGGTTTAATGAGAGCCATAGTGTTTTCTACAGGAAAGAAGAATTGTAATTCCTTTGCAGCTTCATTTGTGTTTGCACTGCCATGCAGCTGATTGATTGGAGAATCATGGATTGCAAACTCAGCACGTAAACTGGAGCAATAAAGTCAGAAAATTAGAAAAATAGCACAGAAACTTCATGCTTACAAGTTATATATATATGTGTATATACATACACACATGTATGCATGCATGCATGCATGCATGCATGTACCTAGACACGCACATGAGTTACAAGTACATATATATAGTCCTTTGGGATGGATGATGAATTCCAGAGTGAGATTGAAATTCCTAATTTTCCTCCAAGCCTTCCTTCTTTGGCAGCTTGACACAGATAACATTAAAAAATGCATATGTAATGGAAGGGATCAAAGCATGAGTCAGTCACTGAAATAAACAATTTGATCAATGGATCATTCAGAGTGCCAAATAAAATCAGTTAGTACTGTCCAAGAGCTAAATGTCCAAAACATTCTCATAGTATTTATTTTGAGAGGGACAAATTAAAAAAACAAAACAAATTAACTGTATCTATAAGAATTCAGTAAGAAAGTTCAGATAAACATTTTGTCCTCAGGTTTCTTGTTATCTTAAAAAAAGAAAGCAATGGCAGGGCAAACTTTGGAAATAAAGCATGATTAGCTGAACAGATCATTTTTCTCCTGAAACAAGTTTTAAGCAATCACAGGGTTCACCTAAAACTGAGATTCATATAAAGGTTCTTATCAACAGCAGGAAATTGAAATAGTTCAATTATTATTAACAAAATGTCTTGTGGTAGAGGGATATTTTTATACCTTATTTGTCCATACATATCACCTTAAGCAAAATTCAAAATCACTTCAGAAAATCTCATTCAATAATAATAGTTGATATTTTAAAGGGCAATCTAATAAATGTTGAACAATGTAATTTTTCAAGGGTTTTTGCATATGGCAATACAGATGTAATGGTAAATACTTCTTAACCATAACCAGTTTCTCTTATTTAAATGGTGAAGCTCGATATAAGGAGTGTTGCTATAGTATTGTTAGGGAGGGGGAAAATGACTTCTCAAGGGGCTCTGCAAAATGTTTTTCATGGTCTGATCCTTGTTTGTAGGCAATATTTTTATGATCTGGGATTCTCTAAAAGATAAAGAGACAACCTTGGAATGACTTTTTATTCAATAATTTGGAAACCAATCCAAAAGTTATCAATAAATGAATTATTGGTGCTTTTATTCAGGAGTTAAACTTTTCATTAAATAATAAAAAGTCATATTTATTAAATACAAATTTAATAAATAACAATGTAAGAAAATAATGTAATCATTTTCAGTCACTAAATTCAGTGTCAATAATATATAAAATACATACAATCATGCATATTTTGTCTTTCTGTAAATGCATGAGTGTAAGTTCCTGCTTGCACAATATTAATGCAATGTTCTTTTTTTAAACATGTGTAACTACATTGTTTAAAATTATATCTGTGCTTTTAACACATAATTTCCTATAGAGAAATGACTATAGAGAAGTGTCTTTTGCAAAGATATTTCCGAATTGTGTACTACAGTTTGCTATAACATGCTGAAGTAGTATAAAATACTATCCAGATGATGGCACTATTGTCATAAACATCACAAGAGAGCATAACTTCAGTAGAGAAAATAAAACACAGTTCTCAGAATGCCATTATTACAATAAAAAAGATTACCTTTGGGGATATTGTTCCTTTGCTTCTTGGATTATTTTTGGGCCTAGTAAATCCCTCCATTTTTGGATTGCATTCTCTCGTACCAAAGCAAGAGCAAGAGTTGGCCCACTGGTCAAGACAAATATAGCTTTATTCATCCATCCATCCATCCATCCATCCATCCATCCATCCATCCATCCATCCATCCATCCATCTATCCATCCACTCATCCATCCTTCTGAATGAATATAAATTCAGTAACAAACATTCTGGAATATAACCAACAAATATTCTGGGGGGAAAAAAGCTGAAACCAGGATTTCTTCATTAAATTAAAAGTGTTTACAATTACAATGGATATACACATCTGTTTAAGGCAAACTTCCTCACAGTGGTAAATATTGATCCAAACAGTTGATGAAATTATCCTTTATTAGAATTGTTATTGTTGTTAAAGTGATACTGTTAAAATTGCTTTCACATAAAACATCTTTTTGGAGGCAATGAACAATCTCAAATTTCAGGACGGTTCAGTGAGCTGCAGAGTTGGAGACCCCTGGTTTAAGATATCAGCATTAATGTAAGTTCTCTTCAGAACTGATTATATTTAGACAGACTGCTTCTCAACAAATTACAAATCTATATCATTTCTGTTATTTTAAACTTCCTTAATGACAAGTAAAATTCTCTAGCAGCCTATAATGATAGTTACAACTACTATTACTGCTAACATAAGGTGACCAGACATCCTGATTTCAGTGGAACAGTCACGATTTCTAACAATTTGTCCCGTGTCCCGGGCATTTAAAAAAAGTCCCGATTTTCTGGCTTCATGTTGAAAGCCCAGTGGATTTGCTTAAGAAATCCTAACCGGGGAAAGACAAAAGACACTCTGTCTAATCCCTCTTTCTTTCTCATTATTTTCATTGAAGATATTAAAACNTTGGTTCAGTTACAAAATGGGCAGGGGCTCCCCCAGCCACTGAGCCATCCAATTGGCAAAAGGCAATGGGCACTTTCAAAGTCCTCAGTCTTAAATTCATTTTCTCCACTACTTCTGGGCTAATTACGCAACGGGTGCATCCAGAGTCTAAGAGGGAAAGCATCTTCCCTTGGGCTCCAGTAGAGGGCACTTTAAGTTCTACTGGAATGGTCATGGGGCCTGATCGGGGACTTATCAAGTGGTCGTCATCGGAGTCAGTTTCACTTTCTCCCAAAAGAAAGGAGGACTCTTCTCCATCCTGGGTGGGAGGGAAATCCTCAACAGCTTCCACTCCTTTCAAGGCGGTTTCTTTGCACTTCCCTGGCATTCAGTCTGGCTTCTTCTCTCCAGCAGTGGTGGGCTTTGGGCCAAGTTTTGCATAACAGCTTGCTGCTCGGTGCCCCTCCTTCCTGCATCAAAAACAAGCAGTAGACGGGGGCTTGCTTGCAGACCATCCCTTTCCTCCTCTATGAGCTCCTTTGGGGGGATTCTTGACTTTACCGCTGCCTCCTTGGTATCTATTTCTGGCTAGGTTAATTTCCACATCTGCTGCCATCTCATACCAGTGTTGCAGGTTTTGTGGGGGCCCCTCTATTCACACAGCTCTGGTATATGTCTTTGTTGAGACCATCCATAAAACTGTCCATTAAAGTCTCCTCGGACCTGTGCACATATGCACAGACAACTCACAAAACTATTGGATGTACTCAGCCACTGGACTTCTTCCCTGAGTAAGAGACTTCATCTTGGTTCTTGCCTTTCACTCGACTAGGGGGTCATCAAAGCGCTTCCTCAGGGCAGCCATAAACACATTGTAATCCCTCAGCAGGGGGGAATCATTATGCAAAGCAACCATCCAGGCTGCTGCTTTGTTCTCCAATGCCATAGTAACAGCTCTTACTGTGGCTTCCTCATTAGGGAAACATCTCCAAACTGTTGCATGTAATTCCAGACCTAGACCAGGAAAAATCCCAGCTCCTTGGGGTCTCCTCCACATTTCATGTCAAGGGAAGGACTTTTGGCATTCGGCATCTGCAGGGGGCCCTCCCCCCCCCTTGGAGGGGCTCAGATGGCTGCTGCAGCTCTGGCTGAGGCTCTCCCATCCCGATCAGCTCCGCTGCCTGCCCCCAGTCCTCCCCCAGGTTAGACAGGTCTTCTGCCCATCTCTCTTCTTGATCAGCAAAATTCACTTCCCTCTCAGCACGGCTCTCAAGGAAATGGCATTTCTCCCATGCCACTTGCAAAAGTTTCAAAGCATGGGTCATCATGAGGTCCTCTTGTTCAGCTTCCTGCCAGGCAGCCTCAGGTCGTTGGCATCAGCTGGCAGTAACTCCAGCAGGAATCTTCTCAGGATCACTCCTCTGCCCCACTCCCAACAACCACCTGGGATGCACGGCTCTTTCCTCTAAGTCCAGTTCCGCCATCCGTTCCATTTCCAAAGGGCAGGAGAATTTGGTAGTCCCCATGTTGTCCTCCTGGTCACTGCCTGGATTGGACATTTATGTGGAGGATTTTTGTTTTAAGTGCACTCCCCTCGGAAGGTGTTAGCTCTGGGATGAGTGGAAAGGGTGATCTTGCTTAATGTCAAGCGTGCCTCCCTCAATAACCAAGAAAGAAAACTCCTAACTCCATTGTTTGTGGAATTAAAATACTTTTACTGGTTATAAAAAGATAGCAACGAAAATAAAGCAAGATCTGAGCCTGAAAGGCGTGAACCAATACATATCAAATGATAACCCAGCCCCCTCCCTCCAATGACCCCACCCCAATGTCCAATCTGCAACTCTCTTAGGTGTCATATGAGGTGCATCTCCAAAAGGCATCATCATGTTGGTATGCAGGATGGTTGGCCTTGACCAAGTCCAAACACCGGCCACCAGCATGCACAGAAGATGGTAGGAAGAAAACCCCCTTTTTCATATCACTCCTGTACCTTTTATTCCCATCCCAAATACCATGCCCCCACCCTCTCCATTTCTATGGCAGCTGATAGTAAGTAAGGAAAGTTCCCTTCCAGCTCACTTATTCTAAAGCTATAAAAGTTCAATGCTGGTCGTGGGTGGATTTTCTTTTAGGATATGTGTTTAGTTTTTTAAATATCCCCATTTCCATCCTCTCTCCTTGCAGAATTACTGGTTTTGAATAGTTGGTTCGGCAAGCAGAAGTTTAGCCATTGNTTGATGTTTGGCAACAGTTACAATTTATATTTGTAAATTGCAGTTATGTTGAAATAAAAAAAAATTACAATACTATTTTTGCATTATATGAAAATTTTTGTTGCGCTGTATAAAATTTTTAATCAAGACCCCCCCCCAGTCAAAGGTGTCCCTCTTTACCAATCTGAAAATCTGGTCACCTTATGCTAACAACAAGACCTTCACATAATTTTTGCCTTAAGAATATTTTTCCTTTTGAGACTGATAATCATTGTACTTATCCTGAAACAGGGATGAAATTTGGAATTTCATCCTCAGTCAGGATAAGTACAATGATTATCAGTCTCAACATAAGAGTTTTATAATGATGTCTGTAGTGCAAGTTCTATCACTGAAAATTGCTAAATTAAATTCATACAGACGTTGTGACTGCACAATGAAACCAAACATTGAGCAATAACAGATATACCCAGAGGGACTGAGACAAAGGCAGTCAAGGTGATAGCCTCAATCCAGCAAATGAATTTCTGCCCTCCTTGGATGATCTTGGATAGTAACAAGATTCACATAGCAGCCCATTGGTGCTAGAAATTGAACTCTGAGAAATTTTTGCAGATTTGTAATGCTCATCATAGATTCATATCTTCTGCATATAACATATGTGATATTATAATGTCTTATTATAAAATAACATAAGATATTTACTCATGGAATTCTGTATTGTAGAAAATGCATTTAACTTGGGTACCTGGTCATTTGTTCCAAAAGATATGGAAAATAATCTTGATTTTCATGTTCTCGGTAGAATTCACGAGCTTGTTCTTCTGATAAGATGATTTCCTTTTGCATGGCTATTTCAAAGCCATTTTCCACTATTCTATTCAGAATAGATTCTGCATAGCAAAAATTATATTGTTCGCATTACTTTTATTTATGTGTAAATATCTAAATGACTGGTGCTTCTCTAATATGATATAGCTTCACTATTCTATCAATTTTGGCCTCAAATCTTATTCTGTGCTCCAATGTAAACATCCTCTTTTACATTCTATACTTTTTTTCCTGATCTAACAGCTAAGTTATGTTCCAATACCTGGAGGGAGTAAACCTGTTAACACTGGAAAAAAAAACAATTGATGGAGGAAACAGACCCATCACAATCATAAACTAAATAATGAGAGTTATAATGGATTGGGACGGGATTATTTAGATTATTATCTAATTTTTTTGATTTTTTAATTTTGCTGAATGGAAAATTAAGATATGAGTGCAGCAACACAAAGCAATCTTACATAGCAAAATGTCTGTGATTCATCGTGCAGTTAGATATTTGCTGCTTAAGAATATTCATGTATAATGATTATTTGAAATACCCAATTTATTTCTGTGATAGCTTTCTGATACATGGGCAGCTTCTCATTAATCTTCAATTAGAATAATATCCATACTAGCTGAGGGATTCAGAAAGGTTTCAAGGTTAGAAAAGGCTGTTCCATAATATTTCCCTGTTGAACTTTCTAAGAATAGTTTTCCTTTAAGCTTTCAATTAATTTGTGTTATAACTCACACATTTTCATTTACATTTATGCAAGAAAAAAAGAAAGAGAATATGTTTCAAACTACACCATGTTTTAAATGTGCATTTCTTTAGAGTTTTTTGTTTAAAAATGCTCTCAGTTATTTTTATTTTATTTTTTATATGCAAAAAGATGGGTTAAAACTGTAATGTATACATTTAAAAATAGTGTAAGTTTAACAAAGAAACATGCCAGGACTTTGAATCAAAATAGGCTTCTGAAGCTAGAAAAGGTAACTTTTCAGATACATGCAATCATTTGTCTAAAGTACTGTCAGCTCTTAGCTAATCTCATAAAACACCACCTTTCTGCCTTTCTTTCATTTTCTTTTTATGAAACCCTAATAGAAATAGAAAAGTGCCATAGATTTCAGTTGTGTGCAAAGTGCCTGTAATAATTGCCACCAACCTCTTCTTTCTTTTAAAAGAGAAGGTCTGATTAATGCCACTGTTCGTTCAACAAATTTTTCATTCCTTTGCTTGGAAAAATCAGAGAAAAAGAAGGCAAGTTGCCTGCTTGTTTCTTCAACACGATCCTGAATATCACAGTGATGTAACAGGTCTTGATTTTGCAACATCTCTTTCAAACTAACAAAAAGGAAAATAATGTAAAAATGTATTTAATACTAACATAGGGCTTACTTTATCATCAACATCTTCAAAATTAAATACTCTGATCCTGGCAGAGGTGGTATTCAGCCGGTTCAGACCAGTTCACACGTACCAGTAGCGGAAATTTTAACTGATTCGTTCAACTGGCAAATATAGCCTCTGGCTGGCCCTGCCCCCACCCACCTGGTCGCCTATCACCTCCCCACCTGATCACCACTTGCCCCGCCTATCTGCTCACCTGCCCTGCCCAGTCACTCCTCACTTTCCTGGCAGCATAGCACGCTTGCACATGTGCACAGTCTCTGCTCTGCAGGTTGCCTGCCTAAGCTGCCTTCCCACATGGTGCCTGCGCCCAACTGAGCTTCCTCCTCCTGCCTACAGGCAAGCCTGTGAGTCACACTATCCACCTATTACCAGTGTTTGCCCCACACCCCAACTTCCCTGGGCTTTTGTAGCTTGCGAAACCGCTAGTGCTGCTCTGGGCTCGCATGGCTGGCTCGCAACCTTACCTTCCTCCCATGGCTGGTGGCAGAGGGGAAGGCAAGCCAGAGCCCGAGGAACCCAGACTTGGAGCAGTTTTGGAGCCTATTAAGAAAAACTGTTCCTTGGCCCCACCATACGTTTTCAAGCCTGGGCTATTGCATATTGCATGCTTTTCACTCCAAGCCCCCAAACTGCTCCAAGTTTGGGTTCCTCATGGGTGCTGAAAGTACAGGCCTTTAACCTGGCTGTTTTCTCTGCCTGGCTTTCTGTATGGGTCCCCAAAGTGCTGTGCTGTGAATGACGTTCTCGCTCTCCCAGCAAGAACAGAGACAGAGAGAAGAAGAAGCCGCTGATCACATGGAACCATTCCACATGTTGCCCAGAGACTTGTTTTGGGCGTAAGTCCCAAAACGTAATTGTAAATCGCATCCAGAAAGCCAGGCAAACAACCAGGGTGAATGATGCTTCTCTGCCTGGATTTTTGGATCATGGGACTTACCAGGACCCAAAGCAGAAGCAGAGAGAAAAAAGTTGCCGGAGAACTTCCTTCTGGGTCAGCGGCTACTTCTTCTTTCCACCTCTGTTCTTGCTGGGAGAGTGAGAGTGTCTTTCACAGCAAAGTGCTTTGGGTAAGTCCCATGATCTGGAAAGTGCTGCACCAGAGAGAAATAGCATTCAACCTGGCTGTTCTCTCTGGTGCAGCGCTTTCAGGTCTTACAGAACGCCGGCTGAGAAGCTGGCCCGCTGGCCAGGAACTGTATGGCTTCTCATCTCTCATCTCTCTCCCTCCCTCCTCTCTCCGCTTCATAATGAGCTCCAGGAGGAGGAGGAGGGGACACCGTCTCCCCCATTGTGAAGCGTACTAAATTTAAGTGCTATACATGAGGCACTGCAAGAGTAGCGAGCAGCCATGGAGGTTGGCGAGAGCAGTGGCATTAGCCACAGCTAGCCCAGCCAGTGTCTCAGGTGGAGTGAAAGTCATATGTTTTCCCATATTCCTCTCGCTGCCTCCATGGCTGCTCACTGCTCTTGCAGCACCTCGTGCGCAGCACTTAAACTTAATATGCTTCACAATAGGGGAGACTGTGTCCCCTTCTCCTCCTGGAGGTCATTATAACATGGAGAGAGAAATGACAGAGAGATGAGAAAGAAGAGGGAGAAAGAAAGAGAGATGAGATAGAGATAGAGAGAGATGAGAAACAGAGAGTGGGAAAAAGAAATAGAAAGGTCTGAGAGAGAAATGAGAGAGATAGGGAGAAAGAGATGAGAGGGAGAAAGAGATGATAGCGAGAAAGAGTGGCAGAAAGAGAGAAAAGAGAGAGATAGGAAGAAAGAAAAAGAGCAGAGAGAGGAAGGAGATGAGAGGGAGGAGATAGATAGAGAGGAGAGGTAGAGAGAGGGAGGGAGAAAGAAAGAGATGAGAGAGAGATGATGAGAGAGAGGGAGAAAGAGATGAGAGACAGAGAAAGAAAAAGAATCTGGCACACATGGGGGTTGTGAAGTGGTAGTAAAACTGGCAGCAACCCACCTCTAATATAAACATATCAAAGGCAAGAAAGAGATGTGAAAATGGTGTCAGTATTATACTGAACAAGGTAAATACTTCCTCAAGTCCTTTGGCAACAACACAAAAATGATTTGCCATTGCTTTTTTCTGAGGTGTTTCTTCAGTTTCCCAATTTAGCCTTTTGGCCTTGCATTCCAAGATAGTTCCCATTCATATACATAACAATGTAATAACTGATTTATGCTTGTGAGATTAGCCAAGGTTGCTTGCTATTTGCTGCAACAAAATATGAGAATAGCAAGCATTAAAAAAAAAACCTTCCTCTGAAAATTCTCTCAACATTCTGATGAATTGGCTGTTTTAGAAGTGGTCCAAATTAATTAGTAAACTGCCATTCTGATTTTTTAATTACAAAAGCATTCAAATAATTATATCTGCATACTCATTATAATACTGATAAATTTTGGTTAACATCCTCTTTCCTCCCGCCCTCTCTTTCAGATTATCAGAAGACATCAGGGCATACATTTATCACAATTCAAAAATCCAATCTTTATGTGAATTCATGGTCTCTTTTTTCCTTCTATTTTAATGAGTTCTTGCAAATTTAGGTGAACACCATTAGTTTCTGAAACATATTAAAAGCTAAAGCAACTTACGTGGGGGCAAGCTGGCTATGATTTCTATTATTTCATTAAACACCAGATTTGATTTTGGTTTGATTTGTTTGACTTTCCTTGTTCACTAATACCTGTGAATTCCTTTCAAAGTTGTGCACTTGACAATGACAATTATTTCAGATGGAAGGAGGGGACCAACCTTTAGTCAGATATATGACAGTTGGCCTTGTCTGTTATAATGTCTAAATAATAAATTTTGCAAAAATCAATTAAAGCTTCAATCCTTTCAGCCCCACAATGATGCTGTGATATATTATGATCCTAATAGTTAAAATATGTCTAAATTATAGCCATTAGACAAGTAATTGAATGAAACCAGGCAATTTTAGCTAACTTAGATCAGATTGGGGAACAAGATATTCAAGGCTATAAATCACATTAATTTCAGCAGAAATTGTCTTCAGTGAACAAATGGTTGGATCTAATAACTTAATGGGATTTACATTAGACTAATGTAATGCATTTGGTTAAAATGAATCTGTTTTAAGCCTGAATCCAGCCTGATACTAATTGTGAATTATGAATTGCTAAATAAATATTTTTCTCATATATACATACATATAAGCATACATGACATACCCAATTACAGGTGTCACAGAGTGTTTCCTCCATGCCTCAGATAAAAATTCCCCCCTTTCTTTCATTTCTTCTTCTTCTTCTTCTTCTTCTTCTTCTTCTTCCTTTTCCTCTTCCTCTTCCTCTTCCACTTCTTCCAAATCATGTAAAAAAGGCATACTTTGGCCATGCTTTCTTTCAGATATTATCAGAATATAGGAGGGTGCAGACAGCATATATGAAACAAAGTCTTCAAAATCAGGCTGGAGAAAAAATGTTTTGTGTTAAATACCAAGCTGACATCACTGCATTCATCCTGTTATAAATGAGATATAAAATATCTATATTTATTACCAATTGTCTAACAACCTGATTTTAGTTAGCCAGTAAATGTTATGTGTGGGTATTTGTGCTCTATATGATTTTCTTTTTATGATATTTTATTCCTAACAGATTATGCTTTTGAAATTTTGCTTCCTTGGTCTTCCAACATATTGATGCCAGCTAGATTATTAAACCTCATTCTATACTTTTTATTTATTTCTCACATTTCTATACTTCCCATCTCATTAAGTAACTAGGATAGTTTACAATTTAATCATTAAAAATGGTAAGTAAAATACTTAAAATATTACAAATTTTAAAAAAGCACGGGCAGTAACTCTCACATCAGCGTCTGTCCCAGAGTCACATATCACTCTTCAACCCCTATGGCAATTTGGAAAAGGACTTAATACTCTTTTGGAAGCCCACTCTGGGGGTAAGATATTCTAGAGGGCAGGCGAACAGCAGAGAAGGCTCTCTTCCTGGATTCCAACCAGGGCTTCTTGATCCAGAAAAGGTTATAACTAGTGTACAACACAAAGTTGAGTAAAGACCTTCATAGCCATTACTGTCACCTGCTCTTCAAGCAGGAGTGGTGAAACTAGGAGGACCCCCGGTTTATTTACCAGGTAATCTAGAAATGTGCAATCTCATCCAAAGCCAAAGATGGTAAATTCTCATATTCAGAGGAGCCTTCTATATACAGTCACTCCATTCAGTTGTAGCCTGTTGTTCCCAACCCAGATCCCCATAGTTTTACATAGATTTTAGAAAGGTGCTCGACCTTTCATTTCCTATCAACACCGATTGGGACCAGTTCCAGAGAAAGGAGGTGAACCAACACAAGACTGTGTCTCCCACTCTCAACTCCAAAGTTAACCTTAAAGAAAACCATGATCAATGATATTGAAAACTGCCAAGAAGTCAAAAAGAGCCCGATTGAATGCACTACATCCTATCCTGCCTGCTTCCAATCATAAATTGTGACCAGTGCTATTTTCATCCTGTATCTGGGCCCAAAACCTGAGTGGAAGGGATTAAGATAATTTGTTTCACTTAGGATCTTCTGAAGCTGCAGCATTACCTTCTCAACCGTTTTTCTAAAGGGGGAAGCTGGATAAAAGTTATCAGGAATAATAGCGTTCAGTCAGTGATGGCTTCTTGAAAAGAGGATATAACGTACCTATCATCCCAACAGGCTCAAACTGTTCCCAGTTAATGGGTAAAATTGTTCCCCAAGCATCCCTAGTAAACCTTACTTGGTCTCCAACTGAGAATGGATCTCAGCAATTTTGTCAGCCAGATGCTTTGTAAATTCCTCAATACAACCCTAAAGTTGAACCTCAGAGTCCCCTTTACCCAAAAGGGATCAGAAAACCAGGGCCATCAGGCAGCACTTTGTGGACCCAGTAAAACTGGTTTGATGTTTTTATTAGTATTTGTTCTCAATTTTAACATACAATTAATGTAAACATTAACTGTAATGTTCAGTAAAATTACTGTAAGATGGATAAGCTATCTCATTAGATAGAACAGTGGTTCGACTTCCGGGGAGGGGCTTGCTGATGGAAGCAGCTCATTTTAGCTGCTCCCGAATTCCTGGTCGCGTTATCTGTCGGATGATCATCCATCAGGAATCTGGCAGTTTGTTTACCTTATTCTTCAGGCAAAGGAGATAAGGTGACCTTTTTTTGCTGAGAAAGCCACCATCCGATCCTCACAGTTTGTGTCTGGGAGGGGAGGAA